GGGTGCCTTACCTCCCTTGGGCTGGGCCAGCTGGTGGTCGGCCTGCTCCATCTCTGCCGCTTGCCAGCTACGCCTCAGCCGGCGCAGGGGGCGGAACCACACATGCGCGGCGCTCCCAGGCTGGGAAATTCCTCGACTTACGACCGGTTGGGTAGTCCTCGACGTATGACCGGTTTAGTCCTCGACTTACGACCGGTTTAGTCCTCGACTTACAACCGGTTTAGTCCTCGACTTACGACCGGTTGGGGTCGCGGCATTAAAAAGGTTGAGAACCACTGTTCTAGAGTCTCAACATCTTTTTTACATCACGGTGACCAAAACTGGATGCAGTATTCCAAGTGTGGCCTTACCAAGGCCTTGTAAAGTGGTATTAACACTTCACGTCATCTTGATTCTATCCCTCTGTTAATGCAGCCCAGCACTGTGTTGGCTTTTTGGCAACTGCAGCACACTGTTCAGTTCCACCCTCATCAACCTATTGCTCAATCCAGCTAAAAGCTCTCCTGAAATATCTGCTGCCCTTCCTGGCTGGGTTATTTCCAAATTTATAAGGGGCTCAGATTAGAAGAAGGTCAGACTGGGCTGAAAAGGTTATCCAACTCTTTTCCTTCCTTTTCTTCTTCCTTCCGTTCTTCTTTTGCCCTTCCTTTCTTCCTTTCTTCCTTCTCTTCCTTCCTTCCTCCCTCCCTCCTTTCCTTCCTTGCTTCCTTTTTTCCTTCCTTCCTTCCTCCCTCCCTCCCTCCCTCCCTTGCTTCCTTTTTTCCTTCCTTCCTTCCTTCCTCCCTCTCTCCCTTCCACCCCTTCTCCTCCCTTCCCTTCCCTTGACCTCCCTCTATATTTCCCACCCAACATTTCTGTTTGTCAATTAGAAAATCTTATGGATTAGGAATTTGGATGAAGGGAAATCAAATCAATGCCGCCTTTTGCAGATGGGATTCAGCCCCCTTGATTGTGATTCTCACCCTCCCTTTGGCTTTTCCTTCCTTCCTTCCTTCCTTCCTTCCTTCCTTCCTTCCTTCCTTCCTTCCTTCCTTCCTTCCTTCCTTCCTTCCTCCCTCCCTCCCTCCCTCCCTCCCTTTCCTTCCTTCCTTCCCACCTCCCTCCCTCCCTCCCTTCCTTCCCTCTCTCCCTGCCTTCCTTCTTCCTCCCTTTGTTTTCTCACTTCCATCTCCTTCCTTCCTTCCCTCCCTTTCTCCCTTTTTCATTATTTCCTTTCCTGTCCTTCCTTCCTGCTTCGCTCCACTCTCATCTCTGTTGTTCCACTTTTTCTCCTTCCTTCCCTTCTTTTTTCACTTTTTTCCTTCCTTCTTTCCTTCCTTCCTCCCTTCTTCTTTTTTCATTCTTGCCTTTCTTTCTTTTTCCTTCCTACTTCTTTCCACTCTCATCTCCTTCCTTCCTCCTTCCTTCCTTTTCTTCCATCTCCTTTTTTCCTTCCTTCCTTCCTTCCCTCCCTTTCTCCCTTTTTCATTATTTCATTTCCTGTCTTTCTCCTTCCTTCCTGCTTCGGTCCACTCTCATCTCTGTTGTTCCACTTTTTCTCCTTCCTTCCCTTCTTCTCTTTTGACTTTTTCCTTCTTTCCATCCTTCCTCCCTCCCTCTCTCCTTTTTCATTCTTCCCTTTCCTCTTTCTTTTTTCTCCCTACTTCTCTCCATTCTCATCTCCTTCCTTCCTTTTCTCTTTCATTTCCTTCCTTCCTTCCTTTCTTCCTTCCCTCCCTCCCTCCTGTCATTTTGCACCCCCCCCAAAAGTCCCCTACTGTGGTCCCTTAGCCATGATTCCTTGTTTGCTTGTTTTTGCCCTTTCTCTTTCTTCCCAAATGGGCACCTCTGTAGGAAACATGCTTGTTTGGGGTCCGACATTTCTATTTCTCAATTCAAGACTCTTAAGGACTAGACATTTGGAAGAAGGAGAATCAAACCGGTGTTGCCTTTTGCAGACCAGATCCAGCCTTCTGGGCAGTGATTCCCAGCCTCCCCTTTGCCCCCAGTTTTTGCCAAATGCACCAACATTCAGCTTGTGCAAGGAAAGCCAAAAAGTCTGCACTTACCTGTATCTTTCGCAAAACCGCAGGTCTGCCAGGGTCTCTCTCTCTCTCTCTCTGGAATGCCGTATTCAGCAGGACCTGTCTTATATATCTTTGCCAGGAGGAGCTTCCTGTCCTCAAAATCTTCTCAAAAACATTACTAAAAATTCCCCTGCTCCAATTGCGTTGTGGCGAGAAAAAAACTTGGCTGAACTTTCATGCAGCGCTCAACCTCTGCTCAAAGGCCAGGTAAATGTTGACTTTTCTTTTACGTGAAGTGCTTTCCCAAAAAGACGATTTCTCTGCAATTTTGAAACGATTTCTTCATCTCTTTTGGAAAACAGCCTGGAAAAAACTGGAAAAACAAACAAGCAAAGAAAACCTAGGCCCCAGCTTGCTCCTATTTCCAACTGACAAAAGCACATCATGGAGAAATGGGTGACTTTTTGTGGGGGTTTCCCCCCCAAAAAAAAGGATTAATGGATGGGTACCAAAATTGGGAAAGGAGTCCGACAAGGCTGTATTCTGTCGCCCTGCCTATTTAACATGTATGCAGAGCACATCATGAGAAAGGCAGGGCTAGATGATTCAAAAGTTGGAATTAAGATTGCCGGGAGAAATATCCACAACCTAAGATATGCAGATGATACCACTCTAATGGCAGAAAGTGAAGAGGAACTAAAGAGCCTCTTGATGCGGGTGAAGAAGGAGAGTGTAAAAGTTGGCTTGAAACTCAACATTAAGAAAACCAAAATCATGGCATCCGGCCCTCTCAATTCCTGGCAAATAGATGGGGAAGAAATGGAGGTAGTGACTGATTTTATCTTCCTGGGCTCCAAGATCACCGCAGATGGAGACTGCAGCCAAGAAATTAAAAGACACTTGCTCCTGGGGCAAAAAGCTATGGCAAATCTAGACAGCATGCTAAAAAGACCGAGTGGCTGTGGCTACCGGCGCCTCGGCATAGTCAGCTGATTCCATCGCTGACTATAGGGGGCGAAACTTTGGCCCCCTCGGATAGGGTGCGCAATCTGGGTGTCCTCCTGGATTCACGGCTGACACTGGATGATCAGTTGGCGGCCGTGACCAGGGGGGCGTTTTATCAGGTCCTCCTGATTCACCAGTTGCGGCCTTTTCTGGACCGGGACGCCTTGCGCACAGTCACTCATGCTCTGGTCACCTCCCGCCTGGACTACTGTAATGCTCTCTACATGGGGCTTCCCTTGAGGAGCACCCGGAGGCTCCAGCTAGTCCAAAATGCGGCCGCGCGGGCGGTGTTGGGAGGGACTCGTCGCTCCCATGTAACACCGCTCCTGCGCGAGCTGCATTGGCTGCCGGTGGCCTTCCGGGTGCGCTTCAAGGTGCTGACTATCATCTTTAAGGCGCTCCATGGCAGCGGACCGGGATACCTTCGAGACCGCCTTCTGCCACAGATTACCTCCCATCGGCCTGTACGCTCCCACAGGGTGGGTCTCCTCAGGGTGCCGTCGGCCAGACAGTGCCGGCTGGCGA